AGTTTTTCTCCCCCCGGAGGTCGTGGTGGCGGGACCGCTGCGTTCTGGGCGGTCCCGCTGCCTGCGAGCTCCGGGGCGAGAAAGCCCCATTTGTAAGTGCAGATCCGACATAAGTCGGATCCGCGTAACTCGGGGACTGCCTGTATATGGGACGGAATGTACCCAAAATTATTAATCTGAATGTTTTCTTAGGTGATGGTGAGGCTCTTCTCTGGTTAACAAAGTGCTTTACTGACATTTTACAGGTAGGGCGGCTGAAGTACATGACTTGCAGCAATCCGGAGAGGTGACAATCATGCAGCAAGCCAGTCACATAGTGCAGGGCTCCTTTCTCCCACTCAATCCACTGGCGCAGAGCTGAGCTTGGGGAAGTCATTTATAGTTTGATATGCTATGCAGTCAAGTGAGTGAAGATTACATAGAAGTAGGCCAACGGGATAAAGAGGGGGAGAACAAGGTGAAGTGTATGTTTGGCAGTTAAAAAAAGTTGTATTAACTTTTCCTAAAAGAGAAAACATTCGTTGCATGTTAGTGATTACTATAATTCCCAGGTGTATATTTACATTGCAAACAAAAATTATATTCTTAACACGGGGTAATTAACCTGTGCTAGCAAATTCATGTTAAAATACCAGTGAAGACACAACATCTCTGCTTTTAATGTGGGTTAGCAGTTTAGCTTGACCCCCTGGCTGCCTGTAGGCTTTAATTCAAGTCACTAACCTGAGTTAAAAGTCAAGTTGCTGCATCATCGCTGCTATTTTAGCCTGAATTATCCAATGCCAGTAAAGAACACACTTATTTGGCAATGTAGGCATATGCCAGTGAAAGGTATGGACAATGCAAAAAGAGTTATAGTGTTCAGCAGATGTGGACAACTAAATCATGCAATGAAAAAGAGGAAATCAAGAACAGTATAAAATACAGACAAGCAGATGGGGAGAAGCAAAGAACTGGTAGTGAAGTGAGTAAAGTGACATTCTTTTTCAGTGTAAGACAAGAAAAATACCCATGTTTAAGCAAGCTATTTTCATGAGTAATCTATTCATGAGTAATCTATGTATTACTCTCCCATATTTGCATGTGTGAACACCACAAAAATTATATAAAGAAGTAGACAGCTCTGTAAATTAGCAGAAAAAAAGTGTAAGACCACCCAGTGTTTGGAAGCTCAAATTACATACATTTAGATTAGAAATAAGGGACAATTTTTAACCCTGAGAATAATTAACCATTGGAATAATTTAACCAAAGATGTAAGGGATTCTCCCTCACTTGAAGTCTTTGTATCAAGACTGGCTATCTTTTGGGAAGATATGCTCTAGCTCTTCCAGAAGGCATGGTTTTGATGCAGAAATGACCCAGTGAGGTTCTGGAGGCTGTCTCATGTGGGAATTGAAATTATAGGTTGAACCTCTCTAGTCCAGCACTCTATGGTCTGGCAACCTCCGTGGTCTGGCATGATTTTAGTTAGCTGGATGTCCACTTATCAGGAGTGTGGCCAAGTTTCTTGCGGTCCTATAAAGTTTATTTATGGCCACTAGTCCTGACTCTCAGTGTTCTGTGCTGTTATTTAGCTCTAAATTACCCTTAAATGTCTTCTAAGAGCCCAGTACTATGTCTATACTGGCAGCTTCTTGCACAAGAACAGCTGTTCTTGTGCAAAAACTTGCCTGCTGTCTACACTGTACGAGCATTCTTATGCAAGTAAATTTACAGTATAATGTTGTAAAACAGGGCTTATTCCGGAAGAGTTATTCCTCTCCCCATGAGGAATAAGCCCTCTTGCGCAAGAGCTCTTCCACAAGAGGGCAGTGTAGACAGGCAACACGAATTTCTTGCGCAAGAAGCCCCAATGGTTAAAATGGCCATCAGAGCTTTCTTGCACAAGAGAGTGTCCACACTGCCATGGATGCTCTTGCGCAAAAGCACATGCTCTTGTGGAAGATTTTTTGCACAAGAACTCGTCCGCAAAACAGTTCTTGAGCAAGAAGCTGCCAGTGTAGACATAGCCTGAAAGTGTTGGAAATGCTGTTTGTTAGACAATATTTATCTCCCATGCTTTAGCAAATTCTCTGGTTTGGCATCAGTCAGGTTCCAAGGGTGCCAGACTAGAGATGTTCAACCTGTAGATGATCATAATAGTCCCTTCTGGCCATAATATTGTGTCTCTGAAAATGACTATAGATACAATTATAAAGAGCATGTCTGCAGAAAAATAATCAAAGGACATTAGAAATCAGACTCAAAGCTTAGCAAGAGAACAGATTATCTC